TGTAATTGTGACAGAATATGGGAAGCTGCATTACTCTCCAACCTTAATCATAGCTTAACACGTTTTGTAGTCCAAAAGGCCAGTCTAGTCAGCCCAACAACATCAACATCCAATTTCTTTTCTTTTCTTTTTTTCTCTTTTAATTGGATGTCGATGTTGTTGGGCTGACTAGACTGGCCTTTTGGACTACAAAACGTGTTAAGCTATGATTAAGGTTGGAGAGTAATGCAGCTTCCCATATTCTGTCACAATTACAGTTGCAACATCTGGTTTGTGTTGAATCCCCTATTTTTGAACAAGCCAAATTTCTAACTCTTTAAAAATTCTATTAAAATTGTTTCTAAAAATTTCTAACTACTTAAAAATTCTATTGAAATTGTTTCTAACTCTCATTTAATTATAGGCAACTTAAAAAATGTATAAAAATTTTGTAGATGAAGACATTCCATGTCTGTCAGGAGCAGATGGAGCATCTCCATGGCATTGATATCATTCTCATGGCTGAATGCCACCCATCGTCTAATCGTGTCCCTCCACCTGCTGACACACCACTGATGCCTAGCACATCTGTTTGTCCCAACAGTCTACCATCGTCCAGTGGTGTCCCTCCACCTGCTCACACTCAATTGATGCTAGAGCCTAGCACATCTGTTTGTCCCAACAGTCCATCATGTTTTTGCCCAGAGCATAAAAGCCCCATCCATTATTATGGCCCTACACCTCCATCTACTTCACTACATATACCAACAGATGTTTAGCCTCCATACACCAAAGTTGCTTCACATATACTGACTGTTTTGCAGATTTAGTTTAAAGACTAAAATATAATTTTTCCGTCAATTCTACTTAACAAAAATATGCAAATGGTTAGATTGAAAATAAATCAAAAGATTAAGGTTTACAATGACCAAATTAAAAACTCATGATTTATTTTGTTAAAAGGCTCAAAACTTAGGGTTTTTGTTACAGTGTCCTCTACATGGTTATGACACCCCCATACAGTGTCCTCTACAACGTTATGACACCAGCATCCAGTGTCTTCACCAATGGTCTGACACGACCATACAGTGTCTCTTATCCTCTTTTATTTTTATGTATTTTCTTGTTTTGTTACTCTCTCCAAACTCAAGTTGGTTAGTTCCTATCCCCCTTGAGTTTGCGGGGCTGTTAAAATTCACCTACTCCACTAAACCTAACCCTCTACACCACTCCACCTCACCTACTCCACTAAAACATAACCCACTACACCACTACCACCTCCACTTCACCTACTCCTTACCTACTACACACTCACCCACTAAACCTAACCCACTACACCACTACCACCTCACCTACTCCACTAAACCTAACCCACTACACCACTACCACCTCCACTTCACCTACTCCTTACCTACTACACACTCACCCTCTTCTATATATAGGAATCATGAATCATTGTAAAAAATATAACATATATCAATCAATAATACATAAATTCTTACAAGGCTTCTCAAAACTCGAGATGTTTTCTTCTGGCACTTGTTCAACTTTCACTTTCTGTTCAACATCTCCAAGTGAGTGAAATATGATGGGTTTCGATCCTTTTCCTTTAGAAGGGACCACAATCTTATTATATTTCTCCACATAGGTACATTCTGTCCTCCTTAATGGCAACGTGAACTCACCCTTGAGATCCAAAATTGGATTTATTGGGGCTAGAGCCTTTGCCCCCAGTTTCCTTTCGGACTTTGGCACATATCGAAAAGTTCTTTTTGTTGAAACTGGAGTAGACTCTAGAATGTCTTTGACATTCGGAGTATCTTCAGACTTTTTCACATCTTTTTCCTTTCTTTGTGAAGTCTTTGTATAGAAGCGAGCATCAGCATAATAGGCCTCTACTTCACCAAACGGATCATTGTCAGCCACAATTGCCCCCTCTTTTTTAGGTGAAGGCAATGGGTACTTAATACATTGGTGATAAGTTGATGGCACTGCATGATGATTATGCATCCATGGTCTCCCAAGCAAAGCATTGTAAGAGGTGTCTACATCAATGACCAAGAACTCAGTGCTTTCTTCAATATCCCCAAACTTGGTTTGTAATTCAATTTTCCCCATTGGGCGTTGCTCATTCTGATTAAATCCTTGAATGACCAAACGACTTGGGCGAAGTTGTGAAATTCGAACCCCTAACAAATTTAAGGCCCTCCGAGGCAGAAGGTTACTTAAATAGTTATTTGTTCAGATTAAGTTATCTTTAATATTTTAGTTACATAACTATCCATAGTTATTTTATGCCCCTTATACTCTTGGTATAATATTTCTCACTCTGCCATATGCTTATAGCTGTTTACCAATTTTCAAGAAACAATGCAATTCAGAAATAGTTTTTGGGAAGTCTTAGATGTGGGGCTGCGGAATAGACACATATGGCACTTTTATGGATATGTTTATATGTAAATATCGGCCTGTTGATCAATAAATTTTATTATAAAAATAGAAACTCCAATGATTATTTTGGTACCCTCACTTGAATATTTTTTCTGCTCGCGTTTATTAATTTGTTTATGAATTGGCCGGAGGTAACCTTAGTTACTAGTCATTACGATACTTAACCCTTATGTACGGGGAGCGAGTCGTGACAAAACCCCCTGTGGTTCAGGATTAAATTGCAACTCTAACTCTGTTAACAATAAGTGTGAAGTGACTTTAATACCCCTCTGATTCTCTGTTTTTTTTTCTTCTCTTATTTTTCCTTCTCTTTTCTATATTACACAAAATTTCTAACATTACCCAGAAGTAATTCAATTAAAATTTTAAAACCAGTGTAATTTAATGCTTGAATGTGGGCTAAGAAACACGGATACGGATGTGGATGCAAACACGGCAATTTCAAGAAAATGGGGACATGGACACGACGAAAACACGGCAATAAAATATGTTTTCATATTTTTTTTTTTTGCTATCTAGATTAATATTACATTAACAAACAATCAATATCAACAAAAATTAACTTTAATTCTAATTTTTTTAAAAAAATTACTTTTAAATTAACACTTACAGTTTTTATCTTTTTTTTTTTAATGTATGATCCATTAAGTATTTAAATCTAAAAAATAATAATAATAAACACTCAACATTCATTAAAAGCACTAAATAAAATGAAAAAAAAGACAACTTGACATGTCCCTAGTGTCTCTCCGAAATGTCCCCTGAAAATAAATTAATTATATAGAGCACACGTCACGTGGTGTGTCCCATACGTGTCTCCGAAGTGTCCGCGTGTCCCAGAAGTGTTTGTGTGTCCGACACAGATACGGCACTTATTTTGAACTATCGGTGCTTCATAGAATGTGGGTAAACACATCCAAATCACGTATATTCTGAAACTGTTTTTTGAAAAAAATTCATAAACACCTAATATTTATTTTAATTTCCCTCTTTTTAAATTAGACAGACATACACACACACACACATATATATATATATATATATACAATGGCAAAGTCAGGAAATTAAATCAGAAGGGACCCTTATTAATTACAACTTTAAATTTTTTTTCATAACCAACAATAAGAAGATAATAATAATTTTTGAATTAATATTAAGTACAAAAAATTAAATAAATTGTTACAAAAGTATTTCACATAAAATTTTACAATTAACTTCAAGTAAAATCGAAAAGAAAGTATTGCGTATAACTAATGTATCATGGACAATGTAACAAAGTCATATACTTAAGTCGTAAAATAAATTATATAATGTTAAGATAAATCAAATTTTTACAAAATTTGAGTAAAAATTTCATATAATAGTGATATCACGTCATTATTGACATCTGATATCACCAACCAATAATAAAGCAACATATGAAGGGTGAACTCCACATACAAATATAACTAATATTCTAGTAATTTTTATATGTATATATATATATATAGTGAGATTAATTATATTTGCATATCAATAATGATATGGATATTACCTTTATATTGAGATTTTTTCAGAAAATTTTTATACATAAAAATATAATTTGTTGTAGTCACTTCATTTTCAATAAAACAATCACTATTGTTTTCATAAGTTTAAAAATGCTCTTGATATTTTATTCTAAATATTATTTTTGTCTAAAATCTTATTTTTTTAAAAAAAAATCCAGGAGGGAAACGTGACCCCCCTAAGCCCTATGTGACTCTGCCACTGTATATATATATATATATATGATACATACATCCCATATATATACATACATACATATATAGAAATATGTAACAAGGGCAACCCAACACCACCACCGGCGCCTTAAAAAAAAACTGGGCAAATCATCAAAATTCAACAGCTGCCGACACCTCCTCCATCATCACCAGCAACCTCAAAACTCCCAAATGAATCTGACAAAACACCACACACACCGCCGTAGGTTATGCGGTAGTCGCAAAGGGGTAAAGGGAGAGGATCTCTGTTCGGAAAAAGAATAACGAGTTGCAGGAGTTGTCGGCGACGAGAGCTAGGGTCCTGATGGTGTTCAAAGAGGGAAGAGAGATCTTGGCAGTGGTGTTCAAAGAAGGAAGAGAAGGTCATGATGATTAGGGAAAGGAGGTAGCGATGGTTGGAATGGATAGACAGAGCGTCGACGAAACCTGGAGAAGAAGATGGGCTGCTGGGAATGAGAGAGAAAGTGACTGGTTAGGGTTTTTAGGGTTTAGGAAAAGAAGATGATGATGATGAAGAGGAGGAGGAGGAGGAGGAGGAGGGTATAATTGTAATTTTGTATTTTAATTTAACTTCATTTTAAATAGAAAAAAGACCCACTCTCAAAATTGGAGAGTGTGTTACAGTTTCCGTTAGCTTGGACGAAAAGTGTAACTATTGCAATTTACTACAAAACCATAGGGAGTTCTCTATCTATATTTGAACTATAAGGGGATAAAGTGCTCCAACCCCAAACTACAAGGGGAGAAAGTGAATTTTGCCCGAAAGACTAACCAGTACATAATCAATATGAGTGACCATTTTTATACACACATACAAATGTAATTGAAATTAACAAAAGGAAAAATATAAACAACTTACATAACGGTGGAACATTTCCACAGCCTTCTCAGCTTCTTCAACAGTGCTCATTGTCACGAACCCAAACCCACGACTCTGATCAGTCTCCCTATTGTAAATAACCTACAAAACAGAACCCATATCCACCCCCACATCAAAAACCTCCTTAAACCCTATAAGTCATACAAATTACAACAAAAATAAACAAGCTTAGATGAACACAACCTTACCTTTGCAATTTCAACAATACAAGCTACAATAAAATACACAAGCTCAGATGAAATAAAGTTTACCTCTGCAATCTAAACATACCAACAAATCATACAAATTACAAGAAAATACATAAAAGCTAAGATGAACACAAATTTACCTCTGCAATCTCAACAAAACCCATAAATCACACAAATTACAACAAAACACATAAGCTCAAATGAATAGAACTTTACCTCTCTGCAATCTCAACAATACCCATAAATAAATCATACAAAACACACAAGCTCAGATGAATAGAATTACCTCTCAATCTCAACAATACCCATAAATCACACAAATTACGACACACAAAGCTCAGATGAAGACAACTTTACCTCTTCAATCTCAACAAAACCCATAAATCATAGTACAAATTACAACAACATACACATGCTCAGATGAACACAACTTTACCTCGGCAATCTCAACAATACCCATAAATCATACCAATCAAAACAAAATACACAAGCTGAGACCTATAGAACTTTACCCAAACTGAACAATAACCATAAATCATACAAATTAAAACAAAATACACAAAATAAAATGAATAGAACTTTACCTCTGCAATCTCAACAACACCAGCCTGCTCAAAAAGCTGAGCCAATTTCTCACTATCAACCTCATAGTGCAAATTCCCAACAAAAATCTTTGCATCCTCGGACAGCTCCGGATACGACTCCTCTCCTTCTCCCTCCACAAACCCCTCTTCGCCGCCGCTCTCTCCGGCGTCTCCAACCACCTCCACTGCCCCTTCTTCGTCTGTATCACCAACTTCTGGGTTTCCCCAACTGAACTCTTCTTCAGCAACGATTGTGGTGTCTTTGCCTTGTTGATCCCAATCTGAGGTTTGTGCAACGAAGGCGACTATAGAGGAAGAATGGGTCGTCTTGTTGAGGGATAAAGAAGAGGGTAGTGAAGAAGAGAAGGAGCATGAGAGATGGAGTTTGATGGGTTTGGAAGGGATTGAAAGATATGGGTATGAAGTTTTGCTACTGAAGATTGCTGGAAGTGAAATTAAGCACCCATTTGCCATAGGCAAGGGCTTGAATACAGCCTTTGTTATACAAGACATGAGAGAGAGAGAGAGAGAGAGAGAGAGAGACAGAGAGAGAGAGAGAGAAGAGAGGAGAGGGTTTAGGGACAGAAGAGAGTGAAGATAAGGAAGTTGAGAGAGAGAGAGAGAGAGAGAGAGAGACAGAGGGTTTATTGGGGGAGAGGAGAAGCGGCAGCAGATGGTCCAAAATGGCCTGCAAATATGGGTATGGGCCTATAATTTAATTGGGCAGGCCCATGTTGCGGAGAGAGATAGAGAGAATTAGGGTTAATGTGTTATTAATTATCTTTATATTAATTATGAATTCGTTAATCTCTACATATAATTTAGATTCTTATAGTCATGGATCTTATGAATAATATCTTAAATTTACTAAGATTTTACAATGATTATGATTTTAGTTATAAAATCGTGTAGAATCACATATCATCTTGATTATACTATGATTCTTATCATACTAATTTTTTTTTAATATTTATTCTTATAAATATGTATGTATATGAATATATCTATATAAAAAAAATGACTATAAACTCTTTTTTTCAAACTTCTTTTCTAATTTATATTAAAATAGAAGATGTATTATATCAAATTTATTATTTTTTTCTAAATCATTTTATAATTATGTAACATAAATTATCATTATTGATGATTTTTCATTTTATTTTGTATTGAAAATAAAATATTACGTTCATCGATCCCATTTTACAATCTGGTTCACATGTCCCTCTCAACTATCCCACTTAAGATTCCAACTTTAGCAACCTTAACTTTGTTCAAAAACTGTCTAATATCGAATGTTTAAATCATATTGTCAACAAAATTATGGACATTGTTAGATTAAAATTGGTTAAGACTATATAATTGTAGTTTTCACTCTCAAACATAGGAGTAGTTGTAATTAAGATATTTTTTATTTATCTTTTCAAAACTTGACAAGATTGAAGATGTTTACATACAATATTGGAAGCATTCTCCAATCTAATCTCAGCTATAATTGTATCTAGTACATGTGTTTTTTAATATTAGAAAATTGATTTAGAATGTCAATTATGACTTAAGTTTTAGAGGCGCTAAACAATATTCGAGCAATGTCTCTCCTAGTACTATTTCGATGTTCTGTAAAAAAAAATTGAAAGTAGCACTTAAGCGGAATGAGGCACTCGACTTTGGTGCTCGTAAAAGTCCAAAGTGGTGCACTCAAATCTCATGTGAATTGCACTTGAGCCTATTAATAGATTTCTAAATTCAATTTTATGACTAGATTTATGTAAAGATAAAAATAAAATTAGTGTTTTTTAGTATTAAACAATACATAATTAAGTTATTTATTATAAGGAGCCCTATTCTCTCTAATGCCCTTACATTTAGAATAGTATCTCACTTGGCAATAAATGGTACACGCACGCGTTCATGAAAAAGTTTTGCTAACAATTGCTAAATAAGCATTCATTAATAATCAAATAATGCCAAACAAAATTAAAATTCTTATACACATTTCACATATTTTAATCCACTAATATATTTCTATACACTTACATATTTAGCTATAAACAACATATGTAAGATAGCTTACACATTGAAACTAAGCTGTTAACTTTTTTAGGTTCTACATTTTTCTTAATGTAGCTTATATGACCTTAGTAGACAACTTCTATCTCTTTCAAATTGCATTCTCCTTGAAGTTTTATTGTCAACAAACCGTCCTCAGCATTATAGATGAACTCCTCCTCCTTCATGTCCACCTTACAACATCTTGGTTTTGTGCTTGAATAGGCTCCAAAACGGCCACATCCTCTCCCTTTGATCTTTATTGAGAACCCTGTAGGAAGATTCACTGTGCAGTTCAGAGCCTCCAAGGCCCCTCCTGAGTTGTACATGTCAAGTAAACCGATTGGTGCGAAATGAAGGTTTTGATTGAAAACCTATTCACCCAATATTTATCCACTCCATGTTAGAGCAAATACCCCACCAAAAATATATATATGTGGAAGATAAGAAAAGGAGGATATAGAGTACTAAGAATTGAAGAAATTGAAAAGCATAAGTCTTGGACCAATCTAAAAATGGAAGAAGAGTGAGTAAGAAAGAAAAAAATAAGCACCATGCCTACAAACATGTGCCCTTGCTGAAGCAAAGCAAAAACATGCATGTTCTGAGGCATAAAAAGACAATGTGCATGCAAATTTGAAGCAGTTAGTGTCAGCAAGCCTCACTGAATCAATGAAGTCATCAGCAATCTCCAAAAGAAGATCTTCAACTTCTGGATCCAGCATTCTTCGTGGATCCACCTGAAGAACCAAAAGACGATCATAATGACTAATGTAGAATTATTTCATATACAAAACAATAATTAAAAATTGCTCCAAAAATTTGGATCGTTGACATATAGCTGAGGACCCCGTCACACATTACTTGTGAGATAGACAAATTACTACGACCAATTCTAGAGGACCATTTTGCTGGTCTTAGAATGCATTAAGCCTCCCCAATTTGAAATTAATCATCTTTACAATTACTCTTGATTTTCCATGAAGAAATACCACATTTTAAATCATTCCCAGACCCAAAAAGTTTCAAATCTCACATCTGGAACCATGGTTCATTGGTTTGCCTAGAATTGTAAAGAGAAGTAGCAATTGAAATATAGGATGATGACCTGTGAAACCAAATCCTGTATTTTTCTCTTCCCAACAAGTCAATTGCTTGCTTCTGTTCCTAGGCTTGAACTCCCCCCCTGGAGTAGTTGTCCCAGATGCTGTAGCATCTGGCTGCGTTCTGGTCAAACTTAGAGACGTTTGGCCAGCAGGCACTGCCATCCTGGGAGACTGCTGTTGATTCAAAACCTGTTGCTGTTGGACGCGGTGGTGCTGTTGCTGGTGTGGCCGTGGCCGTGGCAGTGGTTGTGACTGTGGCTGTGGCTGTGGCTGTGGCTGTTGTTGCTGCTGATGGAGCTGCGGGTGCAAAATTGGTTGATGCTGCTGTACAAGTTGGGAGAACTGCTGTGGGTTCAATGCCATAGAAGTTTGCTGCAATTGAGGAGAAAAAGGCAACTGATTATGCAAAAGTACTTGCTGCTGCATCTGAGGTCAAAGCCAATATGAAGGAGAATTTGGACTAGACATTGCAGACATTTGCTTCAACCATTGTTGCTGTGACAAAGAGCCCTGCATCAAACCCTGCTGTCAATTCTGAGTCAACCCAGATAACTGGGGGTTCATAAATGATGTTCTCAGTTGGCTTTGTGCCTGTAGTTTCTAGAAAAGGAAAACATGCACAAATAAAATATATGGCTTGATTTTAAATATATGGCTTTGCGCCTGAATTCTGTATTGAGGTTGAGGATGAAACCTCATGTTTTGTAGTAATTAAATATATGGCTTGATTTTGTATCCCAAATTTGTGATTTAATTGATTAATTGTTCTTGCCTCATTTGAATTAGCTCAATAAATTTTGAATATGAATTTAATCAAGTTTCTTACATAATTTCAGATGCACCCATTAGTTAGTTTGCCTTCATTATTATTTTGTTAAATTCAAATATTATATATCTATTGTAATTTGTTATAAATGGATACATTAGATTATTTGATTTTGAACATTTAGGCAAGGAAAAGCGTACATCAAATAGTTATTTAAAAATAAATTAAAAAAAATCATAGTAATTGAGATTGAATTCCAATATTACAAGAAAGAGAATTACGGAAATAAATCAGATTCTATTATAATTACTATTTACAAGTGTGGATTCCAAAACCTTAGCCACATTAAATTCATTACTTTCACTTTCTTTGCCAATTTTCATTTAGATTTCATTATTCATTTATTGCGCATTTAGAATTTAATTTCGAACAACTAAAAATATGTTAACTAGATTAGGTTTCATTTAAATTCAAATTAATTTGTTTTCCCATAAATCACAAGTTCCTTTGTGTTCGACCTCAAACTCATTAAACTATACCTCTATACAATTTGTGCACTTGCGAGTCTAATTAAAATTTCACAAGAAGCTCTACAAATCTTACTTCTTAAAAGGTTATGCAACTCTTCCATCTCTAAGCTCCAAGTACCAAATCAATCTTGCAGACCAAACTCATAGACTTATCCAATTAGGCTTTTTTGCAAAAGTAGAGGGTAGGAGAGAGTAACAAACGATGCGCACAAGTACGGGAATAGGTCTACAAAAAGCTTTCAGCTACTTAAGAGTTGCAAATTATACAAGACAAAAGGGCATTATGAAGCACGAACCTCTCTAGAAGTCATGTACTGGTGTCTAACATGGACACATGTTAGATGAGCTAGAGAAAATGTCCCATTTTTATTTTTATTTTTATCAATCGGGCATGCTAGGGACGCGTCAGGCAAAATTTTTTTTTTTCTTTTCACAGGAGTAGCATACCCAAGAAGATTGATGTATTTGATGAGAATAAATATGTGGCATAGAATAAATATATAATATTCAAATATATGACAACAAAACAAATCTATAAAATGATATATTTTGCACATGTTGTGCCCTTTTTTTTTGAAAATTTGCAAGTACACATGTCCGTGTTGTGTCATGTGTCCATGTAAGTGCTACCTAGTGAAGGCATGTAAGACAATTCTTCACAAACTATTCCATGAGAGAGATAGGACACAAACTATCCCATGAGAGAGATAAAACTATAATAAAAAAATTAAGAGTACTACTAAAATACTTGTAATTGGGAATGTTTCAAGGTCATAAGAATTCAAGTTCATATTTTCAAAATTGCTTAGACAAGGATTGAGGTGGCAATGGCCTACAAGAGCCCAAGCACTAGCACAATCACCTATGACGATGTGCAAGAAATGTGATATTAAGATATCCATCAAATACTTCCGACAATACTATTACTTCAATCACTAAGACCATCTCAAACCTTTACCCAAATTTGTCATCAAATTCAAATTTGATGAAAAAGTCTTAAAAAGTGAGGTTCAACGTTTTCATCAAAGTGATATTAAATAGAGGGAGAAGAAGATATTTCATCAAATGGAGGGAGGTTTGATCCTTCATCAAATTTAAATTGTTACTGTTGGACCGGATGTCCGCCCAAATGTCCACCCAGATGACCACTTGGATGTCTACCCTAATGTCCACCTAAGGCACTTTGACAGTTTTTTTTGTTCAAATCTGGAAAATCTCTAGGACATCCATCCGAACGTCCTCCCGGACAACCGGATATATGAAAAAATTTGATGAAAATTCTAGTTTTAATATTGGAGTGAACGGTATCAAATCAAACTTTTCATCAATTTTTTACTCAAATTTGATGAAATTTTTTATTCAAAGTTAGAGATGCTCTAATACAATACCAATATCTATTATATCCTACAACACTTTTTGCAAGCATTTTGTTGTTTGTTATGAGAAGTCATAGTGAATATTATTTATTTCCAATGCAAATAACAACCATATTTACCTGCACAACCATATTTATAAATAAAATTAAAATAATAAAGTAATGTCCACTAGACAAGAGTTTGACAAAAATTTAACACAGTATAAATTAAGCTAATACCTGACTTGAGGATAGGGGAGTTTGTTGGAATAATTGCGGTCTCATTTGCACCTGGTTTATCCTTTGTTGTGGGGCATATACAAGTGACCCATTTGCTCTAATTTGTGAGCTCAAGTTGAGAGGTACCATTCCCATTCCTTGCATCCCTTGCAGAGGTTGTCCCGGCGAACTACCCGGATGGAACTGGGATCCTTGTACAAACCCTGTTTTGTGTCCTGGCTGCACCCAACATTACACTTGTCAAAGAGAAACACTCACAAAAACAATGTCCAATCCTCCATTTGGATTAGTGGATTTCAAATGACTGGATTTAAGGTTAGAATTTTATAAAATTACAACAAGCTTAGCTATCCAAAGTAGATTGATTATTCTCAATTGAAAGATTGAATAGAGATATGCATGATGCATTTTGTTAAGATCCTTGTGCAAATAAAATATTGGAAAAATTACAAAAATATATATAAATAATGGTTTGACTCTTTTAATAAAATAGACTTAAAATTTTAATTTTTTTAATTTAATCACTAATATTTTAATTTGTTTTCAATTTAAATCATTTATTTATATTTATTAAATAAAATTAATGAAAAAATAATATTTTAATCATTTTATATGTCGGCTAAAATACATATTTTCTGTCAATTTACTTAATAAAAATAGGCTAACAATTTAAATTAAACACAAATTAATTTAAATTAATAAAATTAAAACTCAACCTTTATTTTGTAATAATGTTGGTTTTTTATTTTTCAATAATTTTTCTTAGAATATTTTACGGAAGGATTTCAAATAAGGTTATACTACTCAAATTATCCATTTATTTCAAATCCACAAATCCAAATGCAACCTAACAGTGCTACAAATTGAGTACCCTAATAACAAACAATTGTCATTCAATCCTACCCAAGCTACAAAATTTTTCCCTTTGGGCTACGTTTGTTTGGTGGATTAGGTTGGATAGGATTGTTAGTGGGGGGATGGTTAGTGAAGAGATTGTTTGTGTGAGGATGTTAGTGAGGAGATTAAGTAAAAGTATGTTTGTTTTGATAGAATTGTTAAATTATTTTTATATAAAATAAAAATATATATATTTTTATGTAAAAAAAGAATGTAAAAACAAATATAAAAAAATTTAGAAATAACAGGACACACTAACAACCCCAAAAAAAAAATACTGCTCTGATCAACCGGTCGAATGACCGGATACACTCTTGTGGGTGTTGATTTCCGACCACACAACCAAACGGAAAACTTAGCTGGAGAGTACCGGCAGAATAGATTAAGCCTGAACACCTGCCAACAAGAATATGAGAATACCGCGGTGGTTCATCCATTCGGGAGCACTCCGATAATCAAGTCAGTAATCTTATCTCTCACAGATATCAATACAAGTACTTAAACTTCAACAATGAAGGCATAAAAGCATCTCAAATAAAGCATACCTTAGACCCACGATGGTGCTTTACTTTTATAATGATCAGTGTCCAACTTCCCCTAGAAGTCTTACTTCATGGGACTCTATCATTTACAATAATAACATTTATCACAACTCACACTATTTAGATTAAGATGAACTCCCTCAAGAGTCCTATCTCTATCCAAATAAGTAGCTTGATGTCATCTAGGACTCTAGTCCTCTATCCAAATATCTCGAATTCCGGTATTATCGCACCATATCTCGACACCATGGTCTGCCCACGTGGCACCTCGGCTAACAACCTCGGCCACATGGACTACCTAAAAATATGTCCCCACAACTCTAATCCTCAGATTATTTTTTCAATCTCACCTTCTACCAAGCCAAGTTAATCCACCCACTAAGAGGAATTACTAAACCAAATGGAGTATCAATCCAACATCTCCTATCACCACCAAACATGTTGTGAGTAGGACCCATAACCAACCTAAGCGTATCCAACTGCTGAAGCGGGAAAACAAACATGGTCTTCTTTATTGTTATTCTTTTTTTGCCCTCTTTTTTGCTCAACTCATATCTATTCATTGCTCTCATAGAGTCTCATGTTCTATAATAACGAAATCTTAATTTATGGATCTAGAAATATAAAATTCTAACAATCTCTTTAATTAGGTAGTTTTTGTTGGAACTCTATTAACAAATAATAAATAAGAAATTAAGTTTGTTTATTTTACTTATATTGATTGAATATATTAACCAAGACCATTAGATAAGACTTAAAATTTTGATCATACTCGTTTTAGGTTGTTAAAAAAGCTACAAGTCGATAGACAAATTTAGATATTATTTTTTACAGCAGTGCAACTTAGCTCAATACCGACCCTTACCTGAATTGCTCTCTTTTTATCTAAAAAAGCTCCAATCAAACTTTTAGCATATTGACTTTAATCATTTAACTTACAAATTAAATCGTGTTTGTCTTCTCATCATTAAACAACGATATACACATGCATATTTTTATGAACTTAACTAATTAATGATTGGCTTCTCATATGGGGAAGTTTGGGTTATGTGTGTGTTTATAGGATCCATGGAAACCTCCCCCAGTCAGCAATTGCCTGGGTGTTGGTTTTTGTGAGTTCCACTCTATTTACATCATGTTCAAAAAAACTTAAGAGAACACCAAACAAAGAGCAGCGTTTGAGGTGTGCCGAAGGCGCTGGAAGGTTTGGGAAGGTATGAGAATGAGCTAGAGTATGCTGGAAGGCTCTAGAACCTGATGGACTGGTGTGTTAATCGGGCCTATTGTTTACAACGTCCTTGGCCCTGTCCTCAAGGTTGATGAGGCTCTTGGGCCTGGTGACAATAGGCAAGCTTCCCACATCGGGAAGTTTGGGTTGTGTGTTTGTTTATAAGGTCCTTGGGAGTTTCCTCCAATCAACAATTGCTTGGGTGTTGATTTCTTGTGAATCTTGCTCTATTTACATCATGTTAAAAAAAAAAAAAAAAAAACTAACGATTATTTTATTTCAAAACTTAATGTTTGTCCATCTATTTATATATAAGACGAAAACAGCATCACATTAACTTTATTGACATTTCTCCAATATGCAACCGAGGCTTATTTGGCCACTACTTCTACAAAACAAAAATCCTTAGTGCCTCAAATGGAGCTACCTCAAATGGCTCAAATTTGTGTTCACCGATCGACTGGGTGAAACACTTGTCTATTGCGGTTGTCACCTTTTCGACCGTAACTGTCAATCTTTTTACCGAACAATCGGCCGAATAACCAACAAAATAAAATTCGAACCACTCGAGACAAGTTCAAATTCAAGGTATGTAATATTACTCTTTACAAAATAGGATTTATATTTACACTTTCTTGACAATAACAAAGAACTCCATTTATATATCTTCATTTACTTTATTGGAATTCACTTTATTGGTATATCTTTATTTACTCCTTGGTTAATCAAATTAAGGAAAAATGTTATTTCTGAATGGACAGCAGAAGATGTTGCTTTAATTAAACAAATTAAAGAAAATGTTAAAACTTTACCAGATGTTTATCTTCCTAAAACAAGTGATAAATTAATTTTAGAAACAGATGCCTCAGAAGCATGCTGGGGATGTGTTCTTAAAGCAATATCAAGTAATTTATGGTATGATAAAGAGATACCTTTATCAGAAAATGGGATTAGACCAAGAAAAAATTCAATACCCATAAAATTACAAAAAGAAGAGTTAATTTGTGGATATGATTCTGGAACATTTAAACCAAATGAACAGAAATATATTATTTTCGAAAAAGAATTACTTGCAATAAAATTGACAATAAAAAGTTTTCATATTTATTTAACTCCAGAAAATTTTATTGTACGCACTGATAATAAGGCAGTAAGAGATTTCTTGATTAATAAAAAAACTATTGAACAAGAAAGAAGATTAGCCTGGTATAATAAAATTTCTGAATATACTTTTGAAGTAGAACATCTTAAAGGTACTAATAATTTTCTTGCAGATTTTCTTAGCAGAAATTGTTTTAGAAAATTAAATTGCTAAACAAGTAAATTTAATTTTTGCAGAAGACCTCTAGACCAAGAGGAAACAATGGATAAGGGTAAACAACCCGCTCAAGGAGATTGGATGACAATTGCTAAAAAAGCAATCCCCAGTGAAGAAAAAGTTTATGTTGTGTTTGCAGGAAGACAACCTGGAATTTACACAGAATGGAATGATTGCAAAACACAAGTTTGTGGATATTCAGGAGCGAGCTATAAAGCATATGATAGCATGACTAAAAGCTAAAAAAGCTTTTTACAGTGCACCCGTGTAGACGCGCCCGTGGGCCTCACTACAGTTCGGACTCGATTTGTGTCACGGTTCTTAATCTGAACCAAAGAGTCCAAATCCAGCAAATCGTTTTGAGAAACAGATTTTTGAAAAGAAGTGCCAAACATGGACTGCTTTGCCAGATACAGAGTCGCCACCTAAATATTTTATTTTGGGAAAATTTAGGAAACCCTGACTCGGTTCCAAAGGCCACGTGTCCGTCATCACCAAAGTTGCCTCGGCTCGGGAACTTGGGTACGATTGGGAAAGGTCAGCTATGAGCACCCCCTCTCGCCCGATCCGAAGATCGGCCTCTACTAACCATGATATCCAATTTTGAAAACGTTATGTGTTCTTAATCCAGTTATTAGTCTAGAATTACTATGTTATGCGCACAGCAAACAAGTATAGACCAAATCGCCTAAATTGGAACAAAACATTTCATGCTTGTTTTGAAAATGGTTTGCTACTCGCAAGTAGGCTAAAATGCAGGTTTTGCCACCCTCGAGTGGGCTTTTAGAAAAGATGGTTTTGCCACTATCTAGTGGGCTTAAAACTCACAGTTTTAATGCATTATTCCAATTTAGATCATTCAACCTCCATCCGCAGGCATTCAAGCAGTTATATCACATAAGCAGCTAGCCTCATGGTAATCATGCAATTATGGCAACACTCACACGCATGCGGTATGCTAAAACATAAAAGCTCACCTAGTACTCCAAGCAAAAACAGAAACTAGTTAGTAATCATATGCATGATCCTAGTTCATGTTAAGATGACTAATGCGACACATGCAAGATGCGACTAAGATAGGCTCGGCTAATCCACAATGACATGTGAAATGCTACAACTACCACGTATTCAATTTAGAATTGAAATACAAATGCAGTTAGAATGATGCGCCGAGCCCGGTGTATGCAAGACAAATGTATGAATGCACGCATGCATAGCATAAGATATGCTAATTTAAATATGTCCTAGTCTACCATCATAAGCGGGTAAATAAAAGGGAAGAAAGACGTGGGATTGGAAGACATACACACACTCACGCACACTTATTACACAATTGCCCTTGCTCGGAGGGTCCAAATAAATATTACAGTCCGAATAAATAATACATTAATTATTACAGAATTTCTAATTAATTAACAGAA